AGGAGATAGCCCTATAGTTGTCTTTATTGCAGTCCTGTATGCCCAACGAGCATCATCTAACTTTTGAGACCAATCCTTCCTTGATGAAGCAACTGTCTTCTCAAGAATCTTTTTTATCTCCCTATTAGAAACTTCAGCTTGCCCATTTGTCTGTGGATGATAAGGTGAAGCCACCTTATGCCTCACTCCATAATGCTTGAGAACTTTTGCAAGTTGAGCATTACAAAAATGAGATCCTCCATCTCTAATAAGAACTCTAGGAACTCCAAACAGGGCAAAGATTTGCCTTTTCAGAAATTTAATAACCGTATTAGCATCATTTTTGGGACAAACAACTACTTCTACCCATTTACTCACATAATCCACCATCACCAAAATATACTCATTGTTAAAAGAAGGTGGAAAAGGACCAACAAAGTCTATACCCCAACAATCAAAGACTTTAATTTCCAGAACGGCCTGCAATGGCATTTCATGTCTTCTTGAGATGCTCCCAGTTCTCTAACACTTATCACATTTTCTAGCATGATTGTGAGCATCCTTAAACAAGGTAGGCCAATAAAATTCAGACTGAAGAACTTTTGCAATTGTTCTTTCTCCATTAAAGTGTCTCCCATAAGGTGAATTATGATAATGCCAAAGAATTTCTGCTGCTTCTTCATTAGTAACACAACGCCTCAAGAGGTTGTCAGCTCCAATCTTGAACAAGAAGGGATCATCCCAGATAAACTGTTTTGCATCATGCAAAAACTTCTTCTGTTGACATTTAAAATTTTCTGGGATTAGTCCTACAATTTTAAAATTAGTCATGTCATCAAACCATGGCCTCTGCTGAATATGCAAAAATGTTTCATCTGAAAAGGATTCCTGGATCTCTTTTTCCTTGCTTGTGACTTTATCATTGATGAGCCTTGATAAATGATCAACAATTAAGTTCTCACCACCCTTCTTGTCACAGATTTCCACATCGAACTGTTGTAACAAAAGTATCCATCTAATTAAGCACGATTTAGAATCAGGCTTGGTTAACAAATACTTGATGGCCGCATGATCCGTGTATATGATCACCTTAGACCCAATGAGATAGGGCCTAAACTTCTCTAAGGCGTACACTATGGCAAGGAATTCCTTGTTTGTGGTGGCATAGTTCAATTGGGCCCCATTCAAAACTTTGCTTGCATAGAAGATAATATGGAAAACATTCTCTCTTCTTTGGCAAGTACAACACCTATATCATAATCACTTGCATCACACATCAACTCAAAGTCCTTATTCCATTTTGGCGCTATAATTATTGAGGCAGAAATCATTTTATTCTTCAAGAAGTCAAAGGCCTTAAGACATTCATCATTCATCTCAAAAGGTGTGTCTTTGACAAGGAGATTGCTTAAAGGTTTGGCAATCTTGGAGAAATCTTTGATGAATCTTCTATAAAAACCTTCATGCCCCCAAAAGCTTCTGATTCCTTTCACATTTGTTGGTGGTGGAAGTTTTTCAATGATTTCCACTTTAGCTTTGTCAACCTCAATTCCCTTTGAAGAGACCTTGTGACCCAGAACAATACCTTTAGTTACCATGAAGTGGCATTTTTCCCAGTTGAGAATAAGGTTTGTCTGAATGCATATTTTGAGAACAATATCCAAGTTAGTATGGTTTTGAGACAACAATAGAGTCTGGGGTTTGTGCTTTTGAGATATTGTTGGAAGATGAACAACAGGTAGAGCTTGCAACTGCTTATAATATTGTGGATCTCCTTATGAGAGAAAGGGAAGTGAAAACGAGAATGAAGAGTTAAGACCTAGCGAGCTTCATGGTGGAAGAGTCAAAATCGGAGTTTCATGAGTGTTGAACTCAAGGAATGGCGCCAAGAAGGAGTTATTGATGAAGTTGAGGGTTATGAGGTCGCGAATAATCAGCTTCGAAGAGTATGGTAGGAATGTTGGGGATCCACGAGGAGAGAGCCTCTCACGTGAAGACAATAGGGAAAGAGAGAGTTTACATGCTTCAGAAAAAGAAAAAGTGACGTTGCACACCGTTAGCTACATAAGAAAAAAAATTAACTTCGTTGATCATGAAGGACTAAATTTGAGAGTTTTAAAAGGAGAAGGATCAAAATGAATCAAAGTTTCAAAGAGGGACGAAAACCAAAAATCGCATGATAGTTTAAGAACTAAAAACATATTTAACCCATAAAATATTTCTAATAATTTTTATTTTAATATATATAAAGTTTTAATTTTAAGATAATATTTTAATTTCAAATATAGTTCAGAATAAAATATACATACAATTTTTTTTATTTATTAGAGAAGTATTTTTTTTTATAATTATAGTAATAAATATAATCGTACTCTATTAATTTTGTTAAAATAAAATATACAGGATTCATATAATTTTTTCTGTTATAATTATTTTGATGTCTGAACCACATAAATCAATAAAAAACGAAATTTATTTTTACATAACTAATAAAATTTTACAAAATTGAAAATAAAATATGTAATTAATCTATATGATCCAATTCTTAAAAGAAATAGATCTTCTAAAAATTTTAATATAGAAGGAAATACATTCTTGATTGAAATGATAAAACTAGTGAATTTATTTTACAGTTGAATTTATAAATGTTGTTACATTAAATTAACATGATTTATGTATATACGAGACATAGACAATAAAATGTTACAATATAAAAAAAATTCTTTTTTATCACATACTTGAAAACAAGACAATCAACCATCTATGTAAGAAAATATGAAAGTAGGATATTCAACAATTTCTGTATGTAAACCAAATTTTGTTATTACATACAAGGAAGCATTACATCCAATTATTTGTGTCAAAACAAAAAGCAATTGACATTACAATTTCCAAAAGTTAACATATTAACATCGATACAACATGATTATTATTGTTCCAAAACCATAAAATAAATGAAATCGACAATGTTAATAATGAAATAAGTGTTTTCTATTCCAATTTCCACTCATGATCTAATATTTCTGATTTGCAGATGAGACAAACAGCTTTTTCATGTAACCATCTCTTTATACAATCTCCCTGAAATTTATTTTGGCATTGCAGAATTCCTACTATACCATATTTGATGATGTCATTTAATTCTATTATACCAAATATTTTGAATAAAATTAGTTACCTTGAAAATAATAATTAAAAATTTAAAATAATAAGAGAAATTAACCATTTGAAAGAACAAGATGACAAATGAGAACTAGATATCCACATACATACAAGTACTAAGTGCTCGTGAATATTAGGATAAACCATTTTTTTGATAATAAAAAAATATTATATAAAATTGTTGAACCAAAATTGAGAGTAAAAACAAAAATTTAAGCCAAAAAATTTCATCTCACCCACACGTAACCTAAAAGTATAAAAAGAAAACTAATAAATTTGTAAGCAAACAACACTAATTCGTTGATGGAAAACCAAAAATTAAAAGAAATAAGACTAAACTTTGGAGCTAAAATCATCTCACTAATAAACTAAAACATGAAATAAAAATAATAGATACTTACTTCATGATCAAGTCACAATTTGTGTAGATTTCTGAAAGAGGTTTCTCTTCTTGAAGAAATAACATATGAATATAAGAAACTAAAAAAAACTAGAGAATGAGTAAGTAAGAAAAAGGAATATTAATAGTGTGTCATTTGTAAATGTAACATGAATATGAACTATTATATTAAAAGAAAATCTTATTGTTAAATATAAATTCAATTTAAAAAATTCAATTCTAAATATCTACTTTGATATTTGTAACATCCCAAAATATAGTGATAACCATAATCAGAATTAATTACATTAATCATTAAAACAGTGCAGTCTTTACAAAAAGATA